TCTTCATCTTGTGTAGTTATTTTGTTTGTTCTGAAATTTCCTTATTTATGGATCACTTTTCTCACATCAGCCTTAGCCACATAAAATATAGTCTTTTTGTTCATTTAACAATTATGTACCGAGCCTTTACTCCAAGTCTTGGGGACACAGTGGTAGGCAGTGCAGCTCAAGTCCCTGTTTTCATGAAGCATTAGCCTAGTGGAGAGGGAGGAAGTGGTTATGAGAGAATCAGAAGAGATGAGTAGGAGAGGGAGAGAGGGAGTCGATGGTGACTGATGGCCTCTCTGGGGAGACAAGATTCAAGGTGAAATTTGATTCTTCCTTGTTTTCCATTAGAAAAAGAGGCTGAATTGTGTTTCCCCACAACATTCATATGTGGAAGTCCTAATCCTCAAGTCTCTTATAATTGGCTGTATTTGGAGATAGGGTCCTCTAAAGAAGAAATTAAGATTTCAGAATCTGTCCTTTCTGCATCTGTTTCAGATAGTTGTTTTGTCTCTTCAAACTGTGCTTTCTCTTTCCTTTTGCACACTTTATAATTTCTGATTGAAAGCTAGGCGTCGTTTGTCAGTTAACAGGAACCAAAGCAAACAGGCCTTTACTGTGAGGTTTCGTATTAGTTAGAAGTTGGGCTGTGTCTAATGCAGGTGTAAGAGACTTTGTATTCCTCTAGTGCCCTTGTTTATTCTGCCCTGGGTTTTCCTGAGAATACCTCCTCAGAGCCTGTAGCTCTTTCATCTGTAATCCCTTAGTTTTAATAATCCCTATTGTGTGTTATTGCATATTGTAATCAAAATCTCTGTTAGTATGATGTAAGGTGCGTGGGGAAGGGAAGTGTTTATCATCTTAAGATTAAATCTTAGTCTTTTAGTGGGCCTGTGTCCCTGGGCTATGACCCTCACAGACCATTCTCAGACCTCTTCCCTTCTTTATCAGGGTGAAAGATGACAGAAGGGCCTAGGACGGGGAAAGTACCTTTCCCTTTAGGTGGGATAAGGCTGTGATAGCCTTTTCCCCTGGAGAAGAGCCTTTGTAACGGAGTGCACCCTGTGTGTGCTTCGTGATGGTCACTCTTCCTTCCCCTGCTACAGCCAGGAGGGTACCTTTCTTGGCTCTTCACTGTGAGAACCTGGTGGGGTTCCTAGAGGCACAGTGCACAAAATGTGGGGTCTACCTAAGACTGTGATCTCCCAAGAGTGATTTGCTTTCATAGGCACATGGCTTCCAGCAGTTTGTCAGAGTGGTCATTTAAATGTTGTTGTCAGTCAGGGCTTTTCCTCTAGGGAAGCAGGTCTTGCTGTGGCTCTCTCGGTTTCAGCATAGCAGGTTACCCTGTGACCTCCATTCCCTGATAGGTCCAAGAGAAGTCACTGACTTTCAGTTTCTTTAGCTTTTCTGTTGTTAAGGATGGGAGTGATAATTTCTAACCTCTTTGCATGTTGGAGCTAAAACTACTAAGCTGAATTTGAAAGGAACAGGTCATATATGTGTGTGTTATGGGCAGAGTGGACATTGGGGAAATGGACTTTGGCATGTTCCAGAAGTGAAGAGCAAGCCAGTGCTCCTCGTGCATGGTGGGGATGGGTGACTGACATGCAGGGAACACAGGGAAGCAGAAGGGCTAGATCGGGGGGGTGGGGGGCTACCTCGGCCAGACTGGAGATGTGAAGTTTGTGCTAAACATGGTAAGGGCCTGCTGGAGAGCAGGGCAGGGCACATTCTGATTCCCTTTATGCTTCACTCTGGCGGCAGTGTGGCAGATGGCGGGGTGGGAAGAGGTGGAGGGAGTGCTCAATGGGACACCTCTGGGAAGGCCAGTGTAGGTGAGGCAAGACAGCTTCACCTAGCATGGGAGTTGAAGGTTGAGGGTGTGTGTGGAGGCAGAGTGGTAGGACTTCTAATGGATATGAGAGGACCCTGTAACCATGGATGTCTTGGGTGAGTGTCCATGCAGTTCACCGAGATGGGAAGGTGAGGTTTGGGGGAGAGCGTGGAGCCCCAGTGGCTACTGTCTGCCTTGTAAAACCTGCAGTGGCAGTGGATCCCCATGGGCTGTCAAGATGGGCTTCTGTGGATGTGAAGTCTGGAATTCAGGGGAGACTAAAGTTGGGGAGATGGACTTGAGAATCGCTGGCAGATGCATGAGATGCGAAGCACCAGGGAGGATATGAAGTCCCCTCAGGGGAGTAGATAAAGAAGGGAGCCCAGAATGGAGCTCTGTGGGTGCTCTGACATCTAAAGGGAGGTGCCAGGAGGGGTTGGTGAGGAGGGATTATTGTGGAGGCTGAGAAAAGAAAGGAAAGCGTATCAGGGTGGAGGGAGTGCTCAGCTGTGGCCAGTGAGTGGAAGTAAAGTGAGATAAAGTGCTGAGTGCCAACATAAAGGTCATTGGTGACCTTCAGAAGGATTGTTTGGGGGTGGTTGAAATGTAAAGGAGGCAATGTGAAGTGAGTCAGGAGCAGCAACAGCTTCCTCCTCGGTGGTTTCTAGGAGGGGAAACAAAATCTGGGCAGCCCAGACACCAATTTGGAGTCAAGGATGATATCCTTGCCTTCTTTCCTTGTTCTTCAAAGTTTGTAATCGTGGGCTTGTATGTGTATACAAGTGTGGGCTTGCTGCTGGACCAGTGCATGTTGCTAAGTACCCAAGGAGTAAGACATATAACCCAGTATGTGGCTGATGTCATGCAGAATCCATCTGCAGCTTGGAAGTGGCCAGGGAGCAAGTATGCTTATTTTTGAAACACACTGGTATCATCACTGAAAGTTTGGTCAACAGGTAACGAGGAAAATCTGTTGCTCTCACCTTTATTTTTCCTACTTCCTATTGAAGTTTTCATTTCTCCTGTCATGCATTTAATGTCTAAGACTGCTGGTATTTGTTTGTTTTTAAGTCTTTTTTTAAAAATGGCATCCTGGCTTAGCGCCCATAGCACAGTGGTTACGGTGCGGCCAGCTAAATAACCATGACAACTACAACAAAAAACAGTCAGGCGTTGTGGCAGGCACCTGTAGTCCCAGCTACTTAGGAGGCTGAGGCAAGAGAATCACTTAAGCCCAAGAGTTTGAGGTTGCTGTGAGCTGTGATGCCACGGTACTCTACCAAGGGTAACATAATAAGACTTTGTCTAAAAAAAAAAAAAATAGCATCATCCTATTCTGCTTAATAGATGATAGAGCTACTTTTATCTCCTTGAGGACAATATTAATAATTTTTACAAACCTTTCTTCTCACTGCACAACCTCTTTCCTTTGTTCTCCCTTTGTTTCTGTTTAAAACGATGCCCACCTATCTTTTCTCAGGGGTCTGGTGATGCTTGGCTGTCTGTCATGTTTAGTGGTGGAATTTACAATGCTGATCGGAAGTGCTGGACATGTCTGTGGGGCTCATGAACTTGCCTGCACTTCAAGCTGGTGCAGTCACTTACTGGGATCCCATGGCCAGTATATTTGATATGTCCTCTTGGGTTACTCAGATTGTCCGGACAAGACTCATCTGTTCTCCTGTCCTGAGGGCAAAGGCCTATAAACTCTGGAGACAAAGTGAGGTAGAGGGAATGTCCCCAGACTTTGTAGGTATGTTTACTTAATCCTCACACTTTCTAGATAGGCCCTCCAGTGACTAATGCCCCAACTCCGGAGATTCTGTATACATTTTCAGGGGCTTTTAAGAAACTAACCTTTAGGCTCGTTGCCTATAGCACAGTGTTTACGGCAACAGCCACATGCACCAAGGCTGGTGGGTTCCAGCCTGGCCCGGTCCAGCTAAACAACAATGACAACTGCAACAAGAAAATAGCTAGGTGCCTGTGGTGGGTGCCTATAGCTACTTGGGAGGCTGAGGCAAGAGAATCGCTTAAGCCCAAGAGTTTGAGGTTGCTGTGAGCTGTGATGCCATGGCACTCTACCCAGGGTGACATAGTGAAACTCAGTCTCAAAAAAAAAGAAAAAAAGAGAAGAACCTTTAACAATGTGCAAACACTGTTGGCAGTGTTTTCTTGCAGTCTGTACAGAAACAGGTCATGAGCTGCATTTGACATCTGTGCCATAGTTATCCACCTTTGTAAAGGTGGGTAAGATGGTGATTGCACTTAGGAGTGGCCTACTTGTTCCACTAGACTGTCAGTGTGGGAGAGTGAGCTGGGTTTGGGTTTTGTTGTTGCTGTGGTTACCTTCTAGTCCAGCTGGTGACAGGTTGTTCTAATCCCGTGGTTCTCAACCTTCCTAATGCCACCATGTATTTTCATTGTTACAAAGGGGTTGCGAACCCCGGGTTGAGAACTGCTGTTCTAACCTTTCCTGCACTTAGGCTGAGGGCTGAGTTGCCAAAGTATCTTTGCCCTTGGCTTTTGGCCTTCCCTCTGTGCCTGTGCCTTAGCGTCTCTGTGTCGTAGGCAAATCTATACTAGAAAAAGTTTCCTGGCCCTCTCCCAAAGTAGTCTGTGGTCTGGGCTGGGATGGTTCTGCACCCTTCCCAGTGGACAGCAGTTTCCTTTTAGCCTTCCTTAGCCTTAGCCATCTCCCCTCTTGTTCTGTAGGAGTAATGCCTTTGGGCTGGGCATGGTGTTCTACCAGCTCCCACTGAAAGATCTTTCAGTCTACTGACTTCTAATGGGCTATTTTGAATGAATGTACTAAAAAAAAAGTATTGTTTTTTCCAGTTACAGCACACGGTCAAGAAGAAAATTTGTGGCATGTTTAAGGTTCCCGACAGAGAGATGGTAGATGTTGTAGAGAGTTGGCTTCAATCTGGCTAAGTGTTGTAGCTTTGGGTGGGGCTGTTTTTGGTAGTTGCTGTGGTGAAGCACGGCTGTCGGGTTCCATAACTCCTGGGGGTACTCACATAGAAGATAAATGGCGGGAGAATTGGAGCCTTTGACTCAGTGGCCCTGAGTAGATGCTACATCTTTCTGTGGTTTCTGAAAGATTTGCCGTGGTGGGAGTGAAGTAGACTACTACTGAAGGTTTTATTCTAATCAGAACGGCTGCCTCTTTCCCTAGACCCAGACGCGGAAGTGTGTCTTCATGTACTACGGCTTGTGCAATCTGTGGTTCTGGAACCAGAAATCTTCTCCAAGTCGGCTTCCGAGTTCCGGAGCTCCCTGCCCCTGCAGCGCATCCTGGCGATGTCCAAGAGCCGCAACCCTCACCTGCAGACTGCGGCCCAGGAGCTCCTGGAAGATCTTCATGCTCTAGAACGTAATGTGTAGGTGTGCTCAGCCACCGAGGAGTTTGGTGAAAATGCCAGTGTCCCTTCCCCTCCCCAGGCTCCTCATTTTGTATTCCAAAACCATCACTGTGTGCCATATGTTAGAGATGGCAAAATGTGATTGACTAGAGATGGACATAAATTTATATGTATCCCACATAACTTCCTCCTGGAAGTGAAAGTACTTGTGGGTGGTTTGTTAATCTTGCCAAAGGGGAGGCCGTATAAAAATTCCATCCTTCTGGAAAGGTCCAGGTATATACTACCAGGAAGAGGAAGAGAGCTTCCTTAGAGTAGCTCCTCACTGCTCGGCAGACTGTCCACGACCTGTAGGCTCACCTGTAAAAATGAGAGATTAATTAACCATCTACCCCATTGGCCAGAATTTTTCTGAGATATATTTAAAAAAAAAAACACATTCTTTCTCTAGTAATTATAATTAATCCCTCCAAAATGCAAGTTTACCCTCATCACCTTTTGATGAACCTGCTATTTCAGATGACATTGGGCATTTTAGTTCTATATTTTTGTGCCTCTTTTATTTTTGAATAAAGAAAATAAGAAGAGTTGATGTGTTACAGCTATTGCTTTTTGAAATATAAATGGGATATTAGAGAGCTTTTGTGTATTATAATGCATATACTTGGTTGACTGAGAAAAATTTCCCTTAGATTGTTCTGGACCCTTTGACCATAAAGTTAGAAGACCAGTTTTTCTTTACAACAAATACCGTGAAAACCAGCCTCATAGATGAGAACACTTAAAGTTGGTCGAGATTCTTTAAGTGAAGTTTCAGCTCCCTTTTTATATGTGTGTGTATCCCAGCTCCATGCCACGTGTTCATTTTCCCTGTGTACTGGTCATGCAGTCCAGCTTTTGTTCTGGGCCACCTGCATAGGGAAATACTCTATGTTTCTTCCAGGTGCCATGATGTTCGAGAGTGAGAGTTGCCACTTAAGGCACCCCTCAGAGTTGCAGTAGAGCAGGCATTCTCAAACTACGGCCCGCAGGCCACATGCAGCCTGCCTAGGACATTTATCCAGCCTGCCGGGTGTTTTTGCTGCCGCTGCCTATCCTGCTTGGCAGCCAACTCATCCCGGGGCCTGCAGTCTGGCCCTCCAGCGGTCTGAGGGACAGTGAACTGGCCCCCTGTTTAAAAAGTTTGAGGACCCCTGCAGTAGAGAATACTCTCTCCTTTTCCCAGGCCTGTCTCCTTCAGTGTGATGCTGTAGGGCTTGGGCTCTGGGCATCCTCTCCCAGGGCAGCCCGAAATCTAGGTAGAAGTTGTGTCTGTTGTGTATGGTAGTTTAGAATAACAATTTTTCTTTTAAGTGGATTTTTATAGGCAGTGTGCACTTTGTGGCTGAGGCTGAATGAGGAGTGTAGAGGAAGGCACAGTTGCTTAGATTTCACGAGCCAACATATTGTAGAACTCTAGCTCATCAGAGCCAAGGGAATGTTGCAAAAGGCAATTTAAAATTCATGAAGGCAGAAATCAGTCCATCTGTGCTGTGTAGTTCTGTAGGAACTGGTTATTGGTGAATAAAATTAAGAATGTTGTGTTTTCGTACTTAATCTATTGGGATATCATTGTCCTTTAATAAGGTGCTGAATGGGTGATGCGTTAGTGTGATTAGTGTGTGCTGCCTCTGAAACTGCAGGGTTTCTTTCTACCAGAGGTGGGGTTGCTGGTATACAAAACGACCAAACCTTGGCGACCCCTGTGTTGTGTGGTTAACCTAAGAAGTAGGTAGATGCGATTAAGAGGGATTATGTTTTTCTCCTGACTTTGCGCTAAGAATAGCAAGAATTCTTAGGAAAATTCCTGTAGGAAGAGATGTATGGCAAATACATGTTTGGAATGTAGCTCAAGGAAAAAGTACTTCAGGCCAGTTTTAAGAAGTGACCTGCCTCTAGTATTTCAGCTCTTCCTCTGAAGGTCAATAGGAAAATCATAAATTTCTATTTTTTTTATATCTTGTTATCTAAAAGGCGCTCAGTTAAAAAAAAAGTACATATAAAAGCATGAACTTTGCAGTGTTTGAGGTCTCTTGTGAATTTTTAAAATTAGAGACAAAAGCTGTGAGCTAATGCATAGATTATGAAATTTAATTTTGACAGAACCTGTTTTGTATTTACCAAGTTGAGGAACTCTTTTTCTCCTTAGCACTGTCAGTTTGTATGTAAAGATGTGGGGCTGGAGGGCCAGGAGGCACACTTCACCTCCTTCCTCTCCCCTTCTCCCAGGGGGACCAGAGCGGGTCTCTCGCCATCTGGCTGCTTGTTAACCATCTCATCTGCTTTCTCTCAAGTCTGGGAAGAGCAAGCCCTTGTTAAGATGCAGAATGGCAGGCTTCAAGGATGACTTCGGAGACCTGTGTCTCCCCGTGGCCTGACTTGGGATAGCGTTCTAGCTCCAGATACTTATGTAGCCTTGTGTTCTTCATTTATTCTCGAGGATCCTTATATTGATTAAAAGTGCCAAGCATAGGATCACAAGTCTGGAGCCTAGAGAAAATTAGACCAAGGCTGGAAGTCAGATAATGGTCAAGGAAGAATTTTATAAAAGTCATAAGTATGCCCATTACACTGATTCTGCTGAACCTGCCATTGGCTGTATTGCCATGACATTGTTAACAGTGGAAAAGGCTGATAAGTACTTTTGCAGACTTCCTTTCAAGATGCCCTGAAGTCGACGTTGCTCTATTTTCTTACATGATATAGATTCTCAAAGTGCCTCAGAAGGGCTTCTCTGACCAGTGTGGGGTCTCAGTGACAGACCCTGGGGTGGTGTAGGACTCAGTACAGGGTATAGCATCCTACAGGACAGCATGAGAGCTCAGAAGGTGGTGAGAACTCATCGAAAATTCTCTGGATGCTGTTTGAGTCCTGGCTCAGGTGGGGAGGGCAGGAGACAACTGGTACCCCTTTGTCTTCATGAACCATCTCTGGAAGTGTGCATTTAAATTCATTCCCAGGTGTAGAATAAGAAATTAGAATCCTTTGAATGTGTTAGTGCATGTTACAAAATGAAAGCTGATATTATTGTCTTAGCTGTATAATCTATTGTACTTATGGACTACATTCTGTTGATTCATTCATCTGTTGATGGCCACTTAGATTGTTTCCACTTTGTGGCTGTTGTGAATAGTGTTGCTATAAACATTGAGAATACAAGCATCTGTGTGAGTTTCTTTCATTTCTTTTGGGCGTATACCTAGAAGTGAAATTGCTGAATCAGGCAGTAGCTCTGTGTTTAACTGTATGAAGAACAGCCAGACTGTTTTCCAGAGCAGCCATACCACTGTGCACCCGACTGGCAGAGTGTGCACTCAGGCCTCCACTTTTTTACCACATGCTGGCCAGCACTTTTTATTGTCTGTTTTATTGATCGTAGCCATTGGTAAGGGATGCAAAGTGGGATTTCATTGTGGTTTTGATTTGCTTTCCCTAATGAATAATAACAGTAGGCATCTTTCATGTGTGTTTTTTTTTTTTTTTGCATTTGTGTATCTTTTTTGAATAGAGAACTATGTCTGTGCAAGACTGTTGCCCATTTTTGTATTGGGTTATTTGCTTTTTGTTGTTGAGTTGCAGGAGTTCTTGCTTTATTATGGATCTTAACACCTTTTTGGTTTACAGATACTAACTCTCATTCTGTGGGTTGTCTTTTCATTCTTTTAATAGTGTCCTTTGATGTGCAAGAATTTTTAATTTTGATCAAGTCTAGTTCATCCATTTTTTTTTCATTTCTTGCCTGTGCTTTTGGTGTCAGAGCCAAGAAATTGCTACCAAATCCATGGTCATGAAGGCTTTCTCTAGTGTTTTTTCCTAAGTTTTATAGTTTTATCTCTTTGGTTTAGATCTTTGATCTAGAAGTGGAATTGCTGAATCAGGCGGTCATGATGTAAAATAAGGGTCCAGTTTCAGTTTTTTTTTATGTGGATATCTAGTCTTCTCTGCCATTTATTGAATTTTGTAGTTGTTCTTTGAAAATAGTATTTCAGAACTCAAAAATGCATGTATACTGTGCTCACCATATTTTAAAATTCCTTGGTTTCATGAATAGTTTTTACTGTAAGAATTTTAGATTATTCCAGTTGAGCTCCTTAGGTTGCTGCCTTTTCAACCATAAATGTACATTTAATGCTCTTAGAATATACTTAGCACAAAATGACTGTCAATTAGAAAGATGACTCCCACTCATAGTCTATTATGTTTTTTAATTGACAAAGGCATAATCGCAGCTCAGCCTTTCAGAATAAAAGGTTTTATGTAAAACATTACTATTTGAATCTCTGGGACAGTCCAAGCATCAGGAAGAGGTGCAAAGGCCCTGTGAGCACTTGGTTGGTGTATGTTAGAAGGCAGCAGGTGGGTCTTGGCATGGGTCCCAGGAGACTTCACGATTCATTTTGTGTTGGCAAGTTGCTGGAGGGCTGGGGCAGATGCAGCATCTGATTCACATTTTATTAAATAAAATATTTTTAAAAATTGATTCTGCTTTTAAGATCATTAGACCCTCACATTATCCAACTCTAGCCAGGGTGTCCTCCCCGGCCTACCCCCTCTAATGGTAGGTAAGCAGGTGAGTTCTCGCTGGATGCTGTGCCTGCCTGAGTGCTGTACACAGTGTAGTTCTGCGCATGGGGCAATGTGGCGGTGACAGTTCCCGGAGTGGAGACATGCCACCCACCCACCTGGGAGGAAAGCGCCTACTGGTGCCACCTGGACAACCCACCTGCCCTTGGTTGGCTTGCCCGGCAGGGGTTTCTTTGAGTCTTGCCTGTGTCTGCCCTCTTCTTGAATTGTCAGCCCTACAACAGTGTTTCTTGGTTGCAAGGAGAGCCATGGGCCCCTTTAGAATCTGAGAAGTGTCTGCACAGAGTGTGTGAGAAGCACATGCCCCATGTTCTGTGTGCACAGTAAGGCTCTGCAGTATTGTGATTTCTGTGGACTCAGAAGGCTTCCCGTGACAGTGGCAGCCCAGGGCTGGGCACAGTGAGTTGGCTGCAGGGCCTGTGTTTGACTTTCGTCAGCTCACTCGGTCCTCACAGCCACACCCTGAGGTTGGCATTACCAACTTTACAGTTGAGGACACTTGGGCCCCCGTTGTAGAGCTGGGATTTGAATCTGTAGTCACGATGGGGTGTCTTTTCCTGGGTCTGTGTCCTCATCTGGGGTTACTTGTCCTGCTGCTGGGCACTTGCAGCTCTGGCATCTAGCTCTTGACCTGCTGTAACCTCTCAGGCCAGTGTGTTCTGGTGCCATCAGCAAGCCTAAGGGGGTCTAGCAGGAGGGAAGAGAGAAGTTGGGGCAACTCTTCCCACTCTCCAGCCTGGTATGTAGACAGCATGTGTTGAAACATGCCAGGCTCCTGTGGCTGCCTGATTACATGATAACATTTAGACATAGATTAATCATCAGTATTAAAAACATTGATTTTTTAAAAAGGTTCTGTTCAATATCTCCAGCAGCTTGTGAACTTTTACATTTATTCCTATTCCAGTGAACTGCTTGTTTATGGATCACTACAACCTGTTTTAACCTTTGCTCAGCATAATTGAGTA